TTTTGTTCATAGGGGCTCTATGAGTTGTGCTCAACTTGTAGGCAATCAACAACAACAACAACTCTTAATAGCTTAGATACATATATGTTTCCTAGTATATCATCTGCTTTTATGGGTACAGTACTTGCCTGTTAGTTGCTGTATTAACGTATAGGTCTCAGATTAAGACAGACTAAGAAGAAGGGTTGTCGAGCCACTACTGAAATAATAGATCTTGTTTCTCCAAGTGATTTCCGGTAGCTTAATGTGTAACATGTAAGACTGCTAATTAGCAGGTCTTTGGTGTGACTCCAGCAGCTGATTTTGGGAGAAATATGGGCAATCTCCTCTCATAAAGACTGATAGCCTCGGAAAACTGGAGGATCAATATTTGGAACTGACTTGTTAGTTGTGTGTTGTGTACCATCGAGTCAGAATCGACCCATAGCTAACCCTCCAGCAGATTTTCAGAGGCAGTTAATCGCATGGGAGGAGATTAACTTGTTAGCCACAGATTTACATTAGACATCACTCCTCAAGGGTAAAGACAATGTCTCATCTATATTTCTATTTCCAGTGTGTTGATGACCAAGTCTAACTTATTCACTCATTGCCTCCAAGTAGAAACCAAGTCATAGCTGACTCTCCTCTGGGGTTTTCGAAGGTAATCACATGGAAGGAGAGTGCCCATTTTTCTCCTGAGGAGCAGCTTGTGGACTTGCCTTTAGTTTGGTAGCATAACTAGACCATCAGAGCTCGAAGTTGTTGTGTGCTGTCAAGTCAGAACCAACCCGTATCTGACCTTCCAGTGGGCTTTTAGAGACTGTAAATGTGTGGTTGGAGACTTCCTATCTTTCACTGGCAGAGCTTCAGACTACGAGGCTACCAGAGCTCCTACTCAATAGATGGAACTCAATCAATAGTGAACTATTTGGTTGAACAAGATCTAGATGATTGCATATTAATACTCTCTACTATCTCATGTTGTTGTTGTTAAGTGCCATCGAGTCATAGAGGACTCATAGCAACCCTATGAACGGAAGA